GGAGAGTTTCAGTAGTATATAGATTTTTCCAGGATGCATGAGAGTAGAATAAAGTACTGTAAATGTCTAGACTCTAGACAGTCACATAACAGTGGAAACATTAGTTTTTATGAACACAGCTAATCAACCAACTATACGGGAACAGTATGACTGGTCCTAAAATCACTTTTAGAAAAAGGGGGCCAGATTACAATAAATTCCTTTTAATTCAAAGGCAGAAGCTGATCAAAGAGCCTTCAGAGGGAGTCTGCATCTCTGAGGACGTGAACAGAGTAATGCCTCCGGTTCATATCAGTGAAAGTATACATGGGAAAATGATGACTGCCATGGCTGGTTAAATCACTAATATCAATCATAGGAAGAATGAGTTCTAAGTGTCCCATTCCAGATCAGGAGGCATGAGTGGAACGCAATGATTTCTCCCTAAATGTCTGGACATTGTCTCGAGATCCATTACTGCACCAAATCCCAGAAAAGCTATAACTGCCCTGGAAATTCGGTTTAGCTGTTCTTGAACAGATATTCAAGATTTGGTAATACAGGCCATCTCGGTCCCCAGATTTGTCACCACTTACTTGTACTTGACGCCTCTTCACCCATCGTGGGTATAGGCGACTTCCATGGAAATTTGACGCCACTTTGTAGCAATGTTTGCACATTGAGGCAACCGATATTGTTTAGCCCTAAAAAGGAATGGATGCGGCGATCCATGGAAGCTGTTTCGGCTGGATATACCCAAGGGGACGCCAGTCACCACTATTAACTATCCATTCACTGGACAAGATTTTGAACAGCACGCTGGCAACAAGAGTCCTTGAAATATCAGGCTTTCTACAGGCAAGGCTGGGGAGGGGGCCAGCAGTGAACAGCGGCATAGACAGATGACTTCTTTTGGCTCCATTCTTCAGGATTATGAGCAAACTACTTTCAAGCCATTAGTATGTGCTCTTGGGGACACAACTCACTTCCCAGTACATTGTGTTATGTAAGAATTATCATTAGAACTACAGGTTTTAATTTAATACTCCACTCTACCTCAAATGTTTCATCAATCTTACCTGCAAGCCTTGAGTTAGTGGACTACAGAGTTAAAGGTGCTCAGATCCCTACTTTATATCTTTCATTTCTAAACTCAATTGAACAAGATAGTAACCTGCCTGCTGCCGTCCCATCCCTCCTGAAAATATGCCTGACTCAAGCTGAATATGCTCAGTGCTCAACCTACTTCAAATGCATATTGGAGAGGTGAAGGACTCATGGTTTGTCTCCAAAGAAGAAATCACAGGAGTGTTTCAAACTCTATAATTAACAGATCCTATAGGGCGGGGGTCAAACTCATGTCATCACAGTGGCATCATGTGACATTATCAGGACTTTATTCCCCTTCACTAAACTGGGTGTAGGCATGGACAGTGTGTGACACATCTGCCCCGTGGGCTGGGAGTTTGACAGCCCTGCTATAGGGTAATGGTGAATTCTTCTGGGATTCACAACAGCAAATTACAAAGCTCCCTGTAGATAGTTAACTACAAAGCTGGCAGAACCATGAATACATACAAAACATAGAAGAGATAGGTTTGTCTCCCCTGATATGGGCTTCAGCTAAATTGAGTCACATAGAGTGCTGTTACACTGACTCAACCTGGTCATACTACTATGCTTTTCTGAAAGCTATTGCTTCGGTGACAAGGAAATATAGTTGGATTTACATGAAACATCTTTTTGATCACTAGAAGATGGACAGAACACACTCATTTTTTTAAGAAGGGGAAATAAAAGAATATCTACATATTCTCTAAATGATAAATCATATCTAAATGATTAAGATACAAGATACAAGATACTTTATAGGTATGTACTACATTGTATTTCCATTTTTCCTACCTACCAGCTAAGTTTGCTACTAACATAAATAAGGGAGTTGAACCAAACTTAACCAAAGGTAACCAGAGACTGGCGAGAGGGATTTCCTTAAAATAACCTTTTCTCTTTTAAGATCAGTGACGTGCGGTGAGGTTTATGGCTGGTGAGGCAGACCTCTCCCCCGGGCCCTGACATCCCAATGTTTAAAGCGCTTTCTTTCTTTTGCCTTTCTTTTGCCTGAGCTCTGACAGGCGGGCGAAAGAAAGACAGCACTTTAGACAGTGGGATGTTGGGGGAGAGGAGAGAATGCCTGAGCATTCTCTCCTCTCCCCTGACACCCCACTGACTAAAGCGCTTTCTTTCGCCCGCCTGTGCTCGAAGCAAAGCTCAGGCAGGCAAAAGAAAGCGAGCTAGCGGGCTGCCGCTTTCTTTCTTTTGCCCAGAGGCGGGCAGCTCAGACGGGCTGCCACCTCTGGGCAAAAGAAAGCGCCAGCCCACCTGAGCTGCCCACCTCTGGGCAAAAAAAAGTGCCAGCCCGCCACTGGCTTTCTTTTGCCCACCTCTATGTCCGCCACAGAAAGACAGCGCTTTAGACAGTGGGATGTTGGGGGAGAGGAATCACTGAGCATTCTCTCCTCTCCCCTGACACCCCACTGACTAAAGCGCTTTCTTTTGCCCACCTGTGCTCAAGGCAAAGCGCAGGCGGGCAAAAGAAAGCGAGCGGCGGGCTAGCGTTTTTCTTTCTTTTGCCCAGAGGCGGCAGCCCACCTGAGCTGCCTGCCTCTGGGCAAAAGAAAGCAGCAGCCCGCTAGCAGAGGCGGGCAAAAGAAAGCGAGCGGCGGGCTAGCGGTTTTCTTTCTTTTGCCCAGAGGCGGCAGCCCACCTGAGCTGCCTGCCTCTGGGCAAAAGAAAGCAGCAGCCCGCTAGCAGAGGCGGGCAAAAGACCTGCCTCTGCTGGCAGGTTGCCCTGGACACAGAGAAAGAAAGCTGGCGGGCTGCCCTCCCTGCTTCTCCTATCCCCTTCCCTCTCTTCCTTCTCAACAAACCCGCTCTCAAATTGAGAGCTTGAGTGAAGAAACACACACGCGCATACACACAAATTACTTACAAATTACATTAATTTTGAATTCCTCCCCCTCCCTCTGACCCACATACCTTTT